GCAGAGGGTTTCTGGGGTAACAGTACCCAGCTTCATACCCTCTGTCCTTTATTGCTTTCTGGTTAGCCTGCGTATTTCACATACATTAAATATTCCACAATGAACTCCACCATCTGTGCTGTAGGGTAGTTTGTATTGGTCATGTGCTCTGTCAAGTTGACAGAGGTGCAAAGCTAAATGTGTGACACTCGAAGAATATGCATATATTTGAATAATTTGACTATTTAGTCCAACAATTTGCAAAGGCGCTCTGAATGATCACACATTCTGATAACACTTCCAGGGAACCGATAGCTTCACTTAGGAGGTGGGGAGATGGAAGTAGGGTTATTTCTAGCAGGAATTCTTGAGTTCACTGAAGTCTCGTCCCTGGTACTTCACTGGGTGAACGTGGGTAAATTATTTCCTGGCAAAGTATCGGATTCTTCTTTTATAAAATGAGTAAATAATTTCTTTTAACTAGTCTTTAGAAGTTCTAAAATAGCTAATGTTAGTGAATTCACTTTGTTAACTGTAAACCCCTAGGTAAATTGAACTGAATATGTAATAATATTATATATTCAGTTCAACAGTACATTCTTGGTAACCACAAGAGGGTCCACGAAAGGAAACTGTTTATAAATCTTTCCCTTTAGCAAAATTAATGTTGGAGTATTTAGGGAAATTCCTACAGCAGTGAGTCTTCACAATTATTAGGTCAATCCCCTTTGAGATTACAGAAAAATGCACATACACAGAAAGCTGCCTGGAGAATTTGGGTGTGGGCTTGGTGGGAGATTCCTCTGATAGCCAGTGTTGTACCCACAAGAGAGTGTTTCTCAAAGTGTGACTTCAGATTGTCTGCATCCGAATTGCTGGTGGTGTTTATTAAAATTCTAATTCCTGGACCCTGCCCCACCCCTACTAAATCACGATTTCAGGAGGAGGAACATTCATTTTAACACTCACTCAGGTGATTTTTATGAGTTAAGTACGGTGCTGCTGTCTTGTTCTTTATAAGGTCTGCACAAATTGGTTGAACTAATGAGAAGAAAATTCAGCTTTAAAGCAGGAACACAGGTAGACGGTTGACAGAGTTCATCAAATGGCTAATTGAAAATGTCCTCTGGACCCCAGCCATATAAGTTCTCTCGAAGGGTGTTGACTACAGGCAAATGAGAACCCGAAAAGCTATTTGCTCTTTTGCTGCTGGCAGTGGTGGGGGTGGAGGCGAGGGGAGGATTAACGGAGCCAGTTCTGCCCCCACCCTAGAATCCCCTACCCCCACTCTGATTAAAGCAGAAGACTTTATCTTTGCTGCCCTGGTTCGTTATTAAAAGGGTTCGCTTATGTGTGTGTGTTTGCTGGGGCTGGAAGTGAAAACATCTGCAAAAGCATGCAATGCCCTGGAACGGAACTCTTCTAATAAAAGATGTATCATTTTAAATGCGCTGAATTTTGATTCTGGTAATTCGTGCACTAGAGTGTCTATTTCGAGGCAGCGGAGGTATCATATGACAGCGCACGTCAAGGCACCGTGGAGCCCTCTCGTGGACTCCCACCCACTTTCCCATTCACCGCGGAGAGGGCTGCTCGTGCTGCCGCTCCCCCCGGCGAGCTAGCATGAAATCTCCCTGCCTCTGCCGAGATCAAATGGAGCTCCTCGCTGATGGGGTGCGAGTATTACCTCCGCCATGCAATTTCCACTATCAATAATTTAACTTCTTTGCTGCAGACCAGAAGGAGCACATACCGGGCACCAAAGACTCGCGCCCCCTCCCCCCTTTAATTAAGCGAAGGGAACGTGAAAAAATAATAGAGTCTGGGAGTTTGGGGGCCGAAGTCTTTCCCAGAGCAGCTGCCTTGATGGTTACTTTGACAAGTAGTGACTGAAAAGGTGGGTTTGTTTTCTTTCTCTTTCCGTTTTTCTGTTTGGTCTGCTAGAAAGCGTGCGGCTTTAGCGAGGGCTGTCATTGCCTGGGCTTCCTGGCTGGAACAAGTAACTTGGTGTAACGTTATCTGGGGGCGTTCATCAATAAAAAATGCCGTTATTATCTTGATTAAATTCCTATTAGGCAAACTCCAGAGAGGTCAGTGCGCGAACTCTTTAAGCCGGCTTGTTTAAGGCAGCGGAGTAAACCAATAGCCCCCATGCTCTGTGCGATTTCATTGTGTGCTCGCGATCGCAAGCTCCGTGGTGCGGGAAGGTGCGGGAAGGTGTGTCTATGGCCCGGGAAACGCACGCCCTCTCCCAGAGAACTTGGGTGCTGGGATGCGGAGAAAGGGGAGAGTTGAAGGCGAGGGGAATGAGACCTCTGGGCGTCCGATTCTCACTCGCTCCCTCTCACCCCAGCGCGCACAGCCCGGGTTTCCGCAGGGGGCGCGGGACGCGGGGTTCCCTGGGGCTGGGGCTGGAACACCCCTCGAAGCCTCGGGCGTCCCGCCCAAGGGGCCCCGGGAGGGCACAGGGCTCGCGGGACGATGTCGCAGGACCCCGGGGAAGGATGACGGGGGCAGGGCCCGGGGAAACGGGGAGTCCAGGGCGCCCCTCGGTCCCCCGGGGGCTGAGCCTGGACGAGGAAAAGGCGCGGCGTCCCCTTTAAGCGTCCGCCCCGAACGGGTATCGGTAGCGCGGGAGAGACGGGGGAGGGGGGAGGTGGGCGGGGGGGCGGCGCCGTCTGACCAATCGAAGCTCAACCGAAGAGCTAAATAATGTCTGACCCGGGCGCAGGGCGCAGCCTGGAGCTCCGGGTCCGCGCCGCCGCCGCAGCGCCCGGGAGCACCCGCCGGCTCGCTGTCCCGCGCACCCCGTGGCGCCTCGGGCTCCCGGGCCGGACCAAGGAGCCAGCCCAGTGTGCCCCCCACCTCCCGCTCGGGGGGCTTTGATGAGATACTTGAATGCAGCTGCCACCGCTGCTGTGGGGCCGGCGGGGAGCAGCACCGCGACGGGGACCGGGGCTGGGCGCTGGAGCCAGAATCGGAACCACGATGTGACTCCGCCGCCGGGGACCCGTGAGCTTTGTGTGGACCCCGAGGTAGGCGAGCGCCGGGCGTGGGGCTTGACGCGGGAGCCGCCCGTCCGCGGGAGAAAGTTGACTGGGGACCCCCTAAAGTTGTGGGACGAGGCCAGGCTCCTTCTTTCCTCCCCTCCGGGAGAAGGGAGGATTTGGAGTTGCTCCGGGGGAGCTTTCTCCCAAATCCCACGACCCAGAGGGTCAACAGGCAGCACCTGGGAAAAAGGGACCCGGGGAAGCCACGAAGTAGAGGACACAGGGCCAGGAAGAGACCCAGAGCTGCGTGGTGGGAGCAAAGACGGCGCACCGGGTATCCCCCGCAGCCCTCCCCCAGCCCAGGAGGGGTAGAGAGAGACTTGGGGACCCAGAGCTATCGGGGTCCCTGACTGAGGAGGGTGCTGGGGCTGGGCTAGGAATCATTCCAGGGGTAGGGTGGTCCCCTCGCCGATTTGTGGGGGTAGTGGGGAGGGAAGCTTGCGCCCTCAGCCCGCACCCCGTCCCGGGGCTGCACACGGTTACCTGCTCCCCAGGAGTTGAGACTGAAGTGGACTCACAAATCCGAAGCCTACGTAGCTTGGAAAAGTTGGGAGGCGGAATTCCTACCGCTGAGACCTGGAAGGGTCTGCGAGACTCGGGGGCTGGCCGAACCCACGCCTCTCCCCGTCTTAAACCCCTCTTCTGAAGCGCCCTCCAAGGAAGTCAGTTTTGACTTTAGGGGAGTGGGTGGATGTACTTGAGGGATTCCTGACTCGGGTTAGTCTCTGGGGATGCAGAGCAGGGAAAAGGAATGGGTGAGTGAGTTGCGCCTGGAAAGAAATAGCTGAGGATTAGGGGCTCTGTGCCTGACGGCCAAGAAGGGGAGATTACAGACTAGGGGCATCCCTAAGGAAGAAGTCTCGGGGCTGCGGGATGAACTGGAGGATGTAGTGTTTGTGTGTTGGGGGTGGAGCGGGGATGAGGGACCGAGGTGGAGGGGAGGCGAGGAGGAGGAGGAGGGGACCCAGAGAGCGAAGCTAGGGAAGGTAGAGGGTGCCCTCTGCTGGCCATGCTGCCAAGAGCAGCTGCTGGGGGCGGGAGGCTGGGGGTGGGGAAGTGGTAAGAGAAGGTTTTGCGGGATCCCTTCGAGAGCTGGTAGGAGGGACTTGTTGAATGGTGCTGCTGACTCGAGCTCGGTGGGGCGTCCGAGTCGTCGTCGGTGAATTTTGACTCGTCTTTCCCGTTTGGCTCATTTGCAAAAGTTTTCCTCGCGCTGGGGGAGTTTTGATAAGCCTCGACTGGTGGTGTGTTAGGGTTTCTTGAATGTTATTTTAAGGTCCTCTAGGTATCTTGCACTTACTTCTCAATGTCAGTAGTAACCAAAGAACATTTTCCGACAAGCATGCAGGAATGTTCTTGGCCAGAAGCGAAAAAAAGCATATTTCTGAGTGTTTATTAATCCTCCTAGTACAGTTATCTTTTAAACCAAAGTAATATGTAATTGGGAACGTTGATTTTCTAACTGCATATAAAAGGCGATATGCTATGAAATGAGACCATTCCCTACTGTCTCAACTTCCTGCAAAAACTATCTCCCCTCTTCATTATTATCGAAAAACCTATTTTTACATGAGTTTGTTGTGAGGTCAAAAGCCATTTTGGTCTTACAATTTGATATGTCTTCTTTACATTTTAATTTATTGAGGCATAATTACAGATTTAATTTGAACGTGTGTGCCTTCAGTGCTTTCCTCTTGCAACATAATTTTTAGGTTGGAGATTTCTGATGTTATGACATGTAGCACTTCAAGGCATTACACATAATAGGCAGCATAGCGTGTTGAAATTATACTACAAAGTTTTAACCTTGGAAACGGCACCTTTTAAAAACAATCACTAAATTCCTGTTCCTGTTCCCTGGTTTTGCAGATGCCTTGCTTAAGACTTTTTTTTTTTTCCTCTTTCTTTCTTTTTGGTAAATTTACCTCTGGGCTAGCAGGAGAGGTAAGAGAAAGGAAAGAGACACTTGTCGAAATGTAACCATAACCTTTACTGGAATTTAAAACACGTTGGTCACCATTACTGGAATTCCAGGGCCATAAAGTCGTTGTCTTTTTTTTCCTTCTACTTCATTTTGTAAAATGTGATAAATGTTGGTAAATATAGACCAGTAAGTAGTCTGACACAAAAAGCATTATGTATGTGGAACTATTTTGTTACAGAACATTTTCTATTTATAAATGATATAAGCAGAAAGAAATGATTTCCAGATAAACAAGGCTTACGTACATGTTTTGAAGCTTTAGAACATTGCAGACACGCTTAGACATTACATTTTTTAAAGCAAAATAATAATTTTTCTCATACCTTTGAAGTCTTTCATAGCCCATTCAGAGCTAAGTTAGTAGCTGGAAGTTTTGTTTATTTTAAGGTGATATTTTAAAGCCATTTAAGATGTATAGTAGGTCAACATTGGCGTATCCAGAAAATAAAGCATTTAGGAAACCTGTTTCAGAGTGTATTCTCAATGTGTGTAACTTTTACTTGCAAACCAAAGGAACCAAGAAAGTCATCATTTGCCTAAAATGCAGTCATCACCTCAAATGATTCGTTTACACTATGTGAGTTAATTGCTTTATTAATCTCATAAATGGCGAAACAGGGAATGAAGGTCCTGTGGTATTTCTTGTTCATTTTTACTCACAAGGAGTGGGAAATCCTGTACAAAATGCAAATTTCTAAAATCCTGGCTCAAAGTCCTTAGGTTTCCTTTTTAAAAGGGGCACCATGAGAATTAAGCTGTTCCCTTCTTTGTGAAATCTTAAAGAGTATCAGCTTTTCAATAGTCAAAATGTAGATGATTGATAATCTCATTTCTTTCTCGTGGTTTGTAGTTCAGCACACAGAGTGAGCTGGGCACGCCCACCTGACAGTATAGCAAAGAACTTGTCTACATTCTTTTTACATTCATCTTCTAAAACCTGTAGCTAGCGCGCTCTCTCGGTCTCAATCGTAGACTTAATCTTAAAAATTTGAAGATTTACAGACTGGAAAGGTCGTGTTCAAGTAGTTTATTAACATTTTGAGATGTAGGAAATTAATATCAGAGTAGAGAAGAAAAATTTCAGACTTCTTGAATAAAAACAGCATAGAGAGTGGATGATGGCTAAACTCTGAATATCTTTTGAGAAGAAAGGCACTCTCATTTCAGGTTCCCATAATACGGATTTGATTTTAGTGATTAAAACATTAATTTTCAACTTGCATCTCTCTGTGTGCAAGAGTTGAATTTGTGTAAGGGGGCTCACCTATGCAACAAAAGTGAACATGTACCTTTTATAAGGTAATTGCTAACTTGTCACAATTTGTTTTCAAACAATTGTTATAGAGCACTCATTTTCCACTAATTGCAAAATTGCTGCTTAATTGAAAGACTCTCAGCCATCTAGTACAGCCATTCAGCCACTGGCAGGCTCTGTGATCTCAAGCTGTGAATTGCATTTTAAAGTGGAATCATGGAGAGAATTCTGTGGAATTCTAGGTTTTAAGTGCTGGCTGTTGTTCAATGGAAGAAGAAATCATTTGAACAAGAATCACATCAAATAGTGTTGTGATAAATTTTCTTTATTAGGATGAATAACATGCACAGATGGGCTTCAAAAGTGAATGAGCAAACTTATTGGTTACACTCTGCATCCATTTACTCTATTTAGTATGGAGTAATGTTAAGCTATAAATGATGTTGGCAAATGAAATCCATATGTCATTTGCACGTGGGATTTAAACCTAGGAAACAGAGTGCCTTTGGCATGTGTAGGCTGAGTCATGTGTGTCCTAAAAAGTCCTCTTAAACTTCTTAAGGCATAGAATTATTTAATCCTAAATAATTTTATACTTAAATGCATCACTGGATTTCCAGAGTATGTACACTAAAAAGACTTAGAAAGGTCATGGACCTAATTATTGAGTATATGGAGTCATTATTGATGGCAGATGCAAAACAATGGAACTCACTAATGTACTGACATTGAAAACCTTTTGCCGGGGCGGAAATCGGGAGTGGCAAATGGGTGTGTTCTCTAAGTGGGACAGGAAGGTATTCTCTTTTCTGTAGAAAAATATGAGTATCTGGTCAGATAAGTGTGGAAGCTTTCATTTAAGTATTTAAGTTCATGTACAAACTCTGGGGCACATGTGTTCTTGGTGAGACAAATCTTATGAAATAAACTGGATGCTAAGAAGTGGCGCATTGCCCTGATGTCTCATTTATAGATTGATGTTTGAAGATGGATTGCATTAGGTGAGTTAGGGGGCTGGGTGTGGGACAGGAGAACAATTGGAGGGAAGAAAAGTAAATTTACAAGCTTTAGTGACAGCCATAATAGAGTAAAAGTTTATTTCCATAGAGCCTAGAGAGTAACGAATGTTATATAGTTTTCCCCAAAGGTTCACTTGAAAGAACTTTTCATTGGTTGTCATGGTAGTAATGTCCTGATTTTGAAATCTCCCAGAACCTAGTAGCTCTTAAACATGCTTTCATCTTGGTTCCTTTGGTCTGATGGAAACTTTATATGACGACCCTCTGTGTTTTTGACATGCCTCTGCATTTTTGGAGAGAGGAGGTCAGGCAAGGGAGGATTTCTTAAATCTAAGACAATATAGTAAGGAAATATAAAATTATATGATAAAATCACTGAACTTCAAACTGGCTTATTGAAATAAAATCTAGAAGGCAATCTATCATTTAATTACAACTAGCTTGTATAAAATTAAAACTTATATAATGGGAATTCAAAGAAAATAAATGGGCAGTTTCAAGTAATTTAAGCAACTCACCAAAAATTGAAGTAATAGTGCCACCTAGAGAACAAAATCACCAGCTTTACCAGTCAGATGGCTTATTTCCATATGAACCATTTTTCCAATGCTACAGTTACTAGGATTTCCTTGTTACCATATACAGATCTGGTGAGTGTGTATGGGGGTGGGGATGCATGTGGAATTACAGAGGAAATTTTAAAACAAGCAGATCCACAGTTTGATGTTCTAAATCCTTTTAACGTTGTAGTAGCCAAGTGTAGAATAGCATGTCAGGAATCAAGGGCTGGCCTTTTTTTTTTTTTTTTTTTTTTTTTT